GAAGACTTGATGCCAAAAAGCTCTGACATGGAAACATGACCAATCGACTCAACTGTGCACGGAAACACAGTAACTGAGGTGCATAAAAATGAAATACTTAACTGCAGCAGAAGGCAGGTTGTTCACCAAAGAGATGGAGAGTTGTACAAGAATGAATGTCCAGAGGCAACAGTGAAGCACTGTGGAGGTTTCTTGCAAGTTTGGGGCTGTATTTCTGCAAACGGAGTTGGAGATCTGGTCAGACTTAATTATGTCCTTAATGTTGAGTACAGGCAGACACTTATTCATCTTTTTTTCAAACTTTTGCACAGTACTGTATATAATGTAAGACTAAGCACCACACCGCTCTATTTAAAGCATTAGATCAAGATCATGTAACTCTCAGCAGATCATATGAGGACAGCAGTGAAAGGCCTCCACTGTGCGTAGAGTGTGTGGATGTTCAAGTACTTATGTCACACTGGATATATGAGAGGCACTTTCACCAGACTTTACTGGCTGATAATACGTTAAGTGAGATGACAGGCTCACTAAGGTAACCAGAATGTATATCCTTCTTGATCAAATTAACTAAATAAACGTCATATGACAGGATCTCGATTTCTTCATTCATACAAGAGTGACATTCAGGGCATTCATTTAGGTTTTACTTCCTGGAGGCACTGATAGAGCTCGTGTGTAATTCATTTACATTTATTCATTTTGCTGACGTTTTTATACAAAGCGACTTACAATTGCTATACATGTCAGAGATCGCACACCTCTGGAGCAACTAGGGGTTAAGTGTCTTACTCAGGGACACAATGGTAGATGGGACACAGTGGGGAATTGAACCCGGGTCTCTCACACCAAAGGCATGTGTCTTATTCATTGCTCCATCACCACCCCAATTCAGTAACCTATATTTTGGATAAGGTTTCTAAGCAATAAAGTACGTTTCACTGAGTAAGAAATAATAGCTGAAGGCAGGAATATATCACCAGTTTTACAAGCATTTTATTACAGCTGAAAATGTAAACTTGTTTTCAAAAGGTCCAAAAATGAAAAAAAACACAAAATCAACTTTCTAAGGCAAGTACATCCAAATAGTTGCAATTTATACATGCATTGATACTACAATTGCAAGCCGTCCTGTGTGAGCTGAAGTGCTGCACAAGTGGAAACTTTGGCCTGCTGTTGGTGGTGTTAGATGAAAGGTCAGGGGATCACTGAAGTAATCAGGAATCAAACTCTAGGGACCATTAAGGTCAAATAATCATGGCAATCTGTCCAAAATTTGTAGTGTTATGTCTTTCTATATGTCAGAGTTGTGAGAGCGAAATGCTTCTTTTAAGAGTACCATAGCACAAGCTCATACTGGTTGCAAATTAAGTCAGATATAGGACTGCAGTGAAAGAAACTAACTGGCAGACATGCAGGAAATATGAGGCACTTACATAAGCACACACATTAATTGAGCTCAAAGTATGAGTTACAGGAGACATGTTCAGTTGGACCAAAAGCTTCATTCAGAGAAATGTTGATGTGTTGACGTCAGAGAGAGAGAGTGCACGAGCCTGAAGCACAGCAGGAAAAGCAATTAGTCTGATCACTTTCCTCCTGCCACCCCAAGCTCCTTACCACACACTGCTCAAGTAATTTTCTTATATGAACACACACACACACACACAAATCTGCGTGCAGTTGCCTCTCTGAGTCCAACATGTGCAGGACGTCGCCAGATCGTGTTGCTTTTCAACACCATATACAATTACAGCAGTAGTCACATGTCAGAACAAATTATGTGTGTGTGTGTGTGTGTGTCTGCATTTTTGTCAGTACATGTTGTTTATGTGTGTTTGTCCACATAGTTAACCCTTACTAAAACAGGCATGTTGACTGAAAACACTCGTGTTCAGCAACAGGCTGGCAGCCAGCAGGACAGAAGGTTTACAAGCGTAAACACACTCACCTGTGGCGTAAGAGTATTGACGCAACTCAGCCTCTCCCACTGGAAACGCACACACCCACACACACACACACAAATAAACACAGTGGCAGATGTCGTAAATAAGCATGTCTAATGCAAAGAACTGGCAGGAGGGAAGCTCAGAGTTCCTCTGTCCATGAATGCAAAACTGACCTCTCAGTTTACAGGGATCATGTCTCATAACATTTTCAAATAGGCTATTAGCTCCTAAGAAGAGGTAGGCTCCTGCCTACTTTAGACTCCTCGGGTCAAGGATTGTTTCAACTCAAGTTTTAATATGAACGGGAACGCTCATACTTTGCAAGTGTAAATGCCAAGTTTGAGGCCAGGTCTGAAATCAACCTGTATTCCCAGCGTAGGAAAAGCATTTGAGGGAAACACTTTGCCTCTTATGAGAGAAAGTGTAAAAAAAATTAAATAAAAGCCAACTCCACCTACTAGTACTTTCCAGAGCTTCCCACTGTATCTTTAGATCTTCAGGGGATAGCGTTTGCTCAGCTGACATCACTTGACCTACATTTTAGTCATGTACAGTGGTGGAAAGTAACTAAATACACTCAAATACAACTTTGAGATACTTTTACTTTACTTGAGGTTTTCCATTTTGTGCTACTTTATACTAAATGCTACTACTCCACTACAATTATTTGACAGCTTTAATGACTTTGCAGGTCTGCTGATTTTTAATTTAAAATACAACCAACAACTAAATGACGATGCATCGTTACTGAAGCTACTGTTAAAATTGGCCCCACCTTTACCAGCTGCAACATTAGTGATGTTTACACATGAATGCATTAATAATTATAATCCAATAATATATTATATATTATTCTTAAATGGGACACTTTACGTGTTATTTTGATGCTAAAACTAACATGCCTTCACTGAAGTAAACATTTGAATGCAGGGCTTTTACTTGTACCAGAGTGTTTCTAAACTGCAACCTGTATTTAAGTAAAAGAGCTGAGTACTTCTTCCACCACTGTGGTTGTGCTATCTCCATGGCAAATGAGTAAACTCTATCCAGTAAGGAAAACTGTGAGACACATTTGAAAGGTCCTGAAAAAGCTAGTAGGTGGAGTCAAGATTTAATAGATTATGTTTGACGCTCTTCTCACAACATGTTATCAAGATAGAAAAAATACACAGGAGTGTTTCCCTCACAAAGGAAAATGAAAGACAAAGAACTATTACTTTGCAAAGAAAGAGTAATAGTAACATACCCTATCTGGAAATCCCCTACATTATAGCAGAGTGTTTTGTTTTATTTGTTTTGCCAACCAATTGAAGGTCAGCCTGATTGTCTCATTTATCAAATTAAACAAGCCCCTTGGCTGACAGCGAAGACAGGAAATTGTAACACTCTTCATTAAGGAGAGCGGTTGCTATTTATGTTACAATGATAACTCTGCCTCTGCACCCGTGGGAGAGACCATCCCCAATATCTGCACTCAATAATGGATTCAGGTTTCTATTTATACTCCCTCTCACTCTCTCATTTGCTCTCCTCTTTTTTTTTCTTTGACTGTCCCTTGGCCAGCTCTCATAATAAATATAGCTGTTGGCCATCATAAAAAGGCTGTTACAGAAATAACCAAGGCCTTGGCAGACAACATAGGCAGATATTTGAGAGAGTGAGATGCGTAGGTAACTATCCAGTTGAAGCAGGGTACAGTCCAATGTTTCTGTACCTCAAGAGCTGGGCTACAGAAAGAAAATGAAATGTAATTTTTACAGTAGAAAAGCCCTAAATTATACACAGCTATTTATTATTATTATTATTTAGTTATCACAAAACCATTTATCAAAAATATTTTACAGAATTTGTCATCAACCAGTATGCCGAGATGAAGTCACATATTGTGATCATGATGGTTTCAGTTGTTCGGAAGTAATCTGATTGGATTTTGGATTGGATCAAATCTTGAAAACAGGGTTGTTAAAAATAAAAAAAAGGATTTAGGGATCAAACCTTCAGTTTGTGTTCAAAACTTTTTAGTAGGATGGGAGTCCCTTTGATCCAAAACATCAGGATTATCCTGATCCCAACAGAAGGGCAGATTCAGGGTGGATTTTAGGAACAAAATGTAATTAAACCTAAAAAATGTATCAAATAATACAACATCAACTTTACAGAGAGAAAGTTGATAAAGTAGACATTACCTATTAAGTCTTTCAGTACATTAAGGTGCAAAAAGAATTTTGTCCCCATAAAATAAACCCCCAAACAGCTGTCAATGTCTAACCTAAGATACTGTATTTGTCACTTAATGTACATTAAATACACAGTCATCAGAAATGAACCAGTCAAAAGTAGTTTCTGACAGTTGCATCCCTTATTGCAGTTGCATTGTCCCTCATTCTGAGACCCGCCTCCTAAAAGTTCTTTATTTTGTTAACTATTGGACATTTAGCTTTTTTTACAATTTACAACACATGCTCAAAATGTCCACAGTGTATCTGTGAATAATGTATATTTGTTTGTTTTTGTTGGATTTCTTGTGGGTCAAATGAGGGGTCTGACTGTGAAAGAATTTGAAAAGGGAAGGAAGTGTTTGTGTTGTTTTATTGAGCTGTTTAATGTCTCTTCAAATAAAACCTATGCTGGCTTTTCCACCTGTTGTTCTTTATATAGTTAACAGCCTACGTTGTGATTTGTAGTCTCATTTAGAGCGCTGGTGATCCGGATTTGTTAACTTAATCTTGCAAAGTTTGTATCTGGATCAGGGTGATCCAATCCGATGTTGCTTTGAAAAACAAAGTAAAATGGATTACTTGATCCTGATCCAAATCCTTTTGAACAAAGTGGGCCCTGGTGGGAGCTCGTCCTGTACCAGCTAATGTGTTCCAGTCCAGTCCTGTTTTACAGTGTCTGTTAATGATGAGCAGCGTCCTCTGCTGGTGTGAATCACTAACTACAGACAAGAAATCTCTTTTTACTAAATAAAGTTTGTTTACAGATTCTGTTAAACATGGCCACCCTAGCAACCACACGATGCTCGGTAGCTATCGCAGAGCTGTTTACTGCATTTGTTCTAAAATTGACACGTAACGTTAGTTGCAATTTGTCAGCCGACAACATTTTAATTAAGTCAAATGTTTAAAATGTGCAGGGAAAGCAAGGGAGGTGGGGTAACATACTGACGAGCTAGCGTTAGTTCATCAGTGCTAGCTAACGTTAGCTAAGAGACAGAAACTGCTTGCTAACTTAATTTTGTTTTTCATACGCTTACATACTGTAACTAATCCGGAGTACACTCGTCATTAATTTCTGTAATTTTGTGTGTTTGCCTGGTGTTTTGCTAGAGTACTAGCTACTAGCTGTCCGACAATGGATGCCATTTGTGTTACTTGGTTACCCATGGTTCCGTGTAGGCCCAGTTTGTCGAGGGTTTGTGTTCTATTATCGGACGCGATGTTGAGGAAGTCCAATCATCCAGCAACAAAAACTCACTGTGATTGTGGTTGTTTATTGCACTACGATCAGCTTTTGTGTTTTGCTTTCACCAAACGAATTTGAGCAGGGGGAGGGAGACTCCAGTGTCCAGCAGCCCTGCACATCATCCCTGGTCAGCAGTGACAGTGTGGGTCACAGTCTGGCCAGGCAAGGAGCTGCACAGTTTCTCAGGGAAGCAGAGAAATACAGGAGGCAGTAAGTGAAACTGCTCGAGTTATTTTATATTTCATTCTGAATCTTCAAACATGTAACTTTCACTTTAGAGATACAGTGGATGGACAAAAAGCTTCAAAAAGATTGTATTGACTGCAGGACTAATTTATTGGATTGCATAATATTGTAAGGTGCTCCCTTTGTTTTGTCCAGACCTGTGTTTCATCTGGGTTTGTATGCAATTTTTAGTCCCAGTTATATCACACACATCATTTGAATGAGGGGTAAAATAATTCTATCATATAGGCTGAACAATAGCAAGAGCTACTTTGGTGCTGCTGAGTCACCTCTGTAAATGAGACAGACAAAAACCTGTGTTGTCACTAAACCACTGTAACGCATCAAATCAGTCCTCAAACATTGTGAAGAGTTATTATCAGTGCGTCTTTACTGGTGTGTAATGTAATATACCCATTTACCATTTCTCTTCTTTCTTCACAGGATTGAGAAGTTGGAGAAAGAGAGGATGCTGAGTGTTCAGTGCAGGAGGAATAGCTGGACCGATGTGTCTGGAGAGCTGGACGAGTATGAAAAAGTGCTGGAGGAAGACAGAAATGCTGAGAGTGGGTCTTTCTCCGCATTACAGTATCCTAACATTTCCCCTAAAGTGTTTCATGCTGAAGGGGCCTCTGAGATGGCAATATTACAATTGGGAATAGAAATACTTTAGTCATAGCACTAAACCAATGTTAAAGGAAACATCCATCCCAGACACTTTACTGCTATGATAAAACTGCGCTTCATAATGTTCTTTTGTTGTTTGTTTTTTGTTTTTTTCCATTAGAGATTAATCTTCAAAAGCAGCTATTGAAGATTCATAATGGTGTCAGGAAATTTCAGAGACAGCTAATAGATGTGAAGCCAACTCCTGAGTGTAAGTTTTGTATCTAGCAGTGTTTCCTCATACAGTTTTATTCCATCGTTCATTCAGTCATTGTGAAGTTGTGCACTGTTCAATAAAAGCATGGTGATTGAAGTGCCATAAGAGTACAATAGAAATAAGAGTATTTCAAGCCAGATTGTTAACAATGTTTCTGCATGTCTACTTGGGTTTTCAGTGATTGCAAGACTGGAGGACATAATGTCAGAGGTGGAAATCTCAATTAACACCTTAAAGGAGGAACAGCAGTCATGGTAACTGGATACACTAAACAACTTTAGACCACACTCCTATAAAATGAAATGCACTTTAACACAATAACCCTTTAAGAAATACTACATTTAACATATAATGTTAAGTTAAATACATACATTGGTAATACAATATTAGAAATACTAGAAACATTTAATATATTGCAATCCAATGCGTGTTGTGAATAGTCGTCTTTGTGTTTCTCTGCTCCTCTCAGCTTTGAAGAACTTTTGAAGGAGGAGAGGACATGCAGACAGGAGGTCACTGCTTACGAAAAGAAGATTGAAAACTGGAGCCTTGCTGTAAAATCAGAACCCAAACTACCCCGAGCTTCCACTGTGAAGGTCGGTCTATCATCCTCTTCCTCCTTTGTGTATTTTCTTTGCTTTCCATCATTAATGCAATAAAAAGTGGAGGGAGAGCCAAGTTTGTGTGTTTAAATGTAGAATGTGATGAATAAATATCACAAGATAGTACTGCTTTTGAGCTCAGAGATGGGAAAAAATATTTCAAAATTGTTTCTGAAATCATGAGAACATGTTTATAATCTGTTTTACATAGTTAGCGTCAGGAGTCGACACAAAAATATATCCAGGATTCTGACCCATGCAGCACTTCATTGATAGCTTTATCTTTTCCGTAAGACCAAACCCCTGGACAGAGACCTCCCTGCAGAGGTCAGAGCACTGGAGGCTTTCCTGCAGAAGACGGGAGGCCATAATGGTGGCTGGGACCAATATGACCACCAAGTCTTCCTTAAAGTAAGGTCATTCTGTCTCCAAAAACTTGTGTTACAAAGGAAATTCTCATTTTCTTGCCACCTTCCACCTTCCGCAGATTATTGCACTGAGCACCGCTCTTCAAGCTAACAGTGTTTACTGTTTTGCTATAGGCAACTTTAGCAGAAGTCAAGCCAAAGCTCGTCTGCCTCAAGATTCCTGACTGATTCCTGATTTACTGTAATCTGTTTTGATTTACAGGTCTGGACAAAGCATAGTGGGCAACAGGCCTACAGGAGAGAGGTCAAACTGTACCTGCCAGGTAAAACACTGGAGGAGATAGAGCAACACGAGGACTGGCATCAGGAGCTGATCTACCTACAGGACAAAAAGAGAGGGGTAGAGAATTGTGACAAAACATGTATGAGAGGAAAGCATACCTGATTTTGATTGGCACAGATTATTTAGTTGTCAGAATAATAATATTTGTATTATTTTTAGGGATAATTTTAACATCTTAACATCTTCTCTTTTCAGGACTAATTTGGGCTAATTGAATGAATACCTATATTATACCCTCAGGCTCTCTGGTGTGGGGCACTAAAACTTTAGGTTAGAATTTTGTGTTAGGTTTTGTACTGTGGGGGGCTCACTTTCTGCCGATTTTATTTGAAAAACAAATTCCACGGCAAGTAATTTTGCTTATTAACCCCCCATGAGTTAGAGAGGAGTAGCACTAATAATAAATATACCGCCACACCATCACTACAGGTTTAATAAAGGCCTATTGTATCTGGCGTTTGATTGGCTCAGAGTATGCCTGTAATATTGTGGGTGGACAACACATTTGCTTTTATCACTTGAATAGCTGAAAAGTGACAAATTCACACACAACAACGCAGTTAAAGGGGCACAATCATCTTTACTCCGCCAGGTTGTAATATAATTCAACCTTTTAGTAGAAATTAATTTGGTTTCCAATAGTTTACCACCAATGCATGTACACTTTTATTCTGTTAACCTCAGTTAGAACCATCTTTATTCTGTAGAAACACAACATAACCAGGAGCTCAGAAAGAGCTTTTTTGGAAGCTGTGGTAACATCTCCTAAATAGTTTGTGAATTTCGTTTATACCACTTGCTGTCATACCATATACCCAGGCCATTCAGCGGTGGAAAGCCATCAAGCATCAGGAACGCCAGATCAGGATACAGAGTCAGGAGGAGGTGGAGGAGGCGGAAAGGAGGGAGAAGGAGGCCAAGAGTCAGGCCCACCAACACAGGTGAGTCAGAAGTAGAATAGAAAAGAATAAAACCCAGAAAGAAGAGGAGGTGGAGTGGACACTGATTCCATGACTAAAGCCGTGAAATGCACCCCCGAGTCATAAAATCCCACCAGGTCTGATGAGCAAAAGTGTTTGATTGGTCACATTTAATGAAGGTGAACCTGGGGGCTTTATTTGCTCATAGTCTTTGCTACTGCCGCTTTGATATCATGTTTGTTTTAGTGTGTTCTTTCCTCTTCTGTTTTAGGACTGAGGAGGAGAAGAGGGAGGCAGCACGGCGACTGGAGGAGTGGAGAGAAGAGAAGAGAAGGAAAGAGGAACAGGAAGAGGAGCAGAGACTAGCTGAGGATATACAAAAGAGGAGAAGAGAAAAGGTGCTTTGAGCATGTGTGTGTGAAAAGTAATTTTAGTGTAGTTGTGGTTGTTTATTATCATTTATAATACTTCTGTATTTGGTATGTACTTTCCTGTGCGTGTGTGTTTATGAGTATTGTGTAGTTAATTTAGCATGAACACATAATAGCAAAAGTTGGTGTTAAGAGGTGCGTGGTTGGTGCTCTCACCAAATATTTACCTGTACCAATCAAAATGATTTCTGTTTATCAGGAAGAGCGTCGCCGCCAGCTGGAAGTGAAGCTGACCCTTGAGGAGCAGCTACGACTGAGGAAAGAGGAGGAGGAGGAACAGGAGAGAAGGAGGAGAGAGGAGGAACAGAGGGAGGCGGATGAGAGGAGAAGGGAGGCAGCAAGGGGCATCAAACGCTTAAATGAAAGGGTACAAAGTCTGACAATCACAGCGACACCAAGAAGCACAAGACCGGTTGTTTGTCTGTTTTAACCTGAGTGCTCAGCGTTACCACTTTCAGATAAATGGAGAAATCACCGTACTGTGTAAAATACAAAGCTTGTCTCTGCCTTTCTGCAGGACCTTCACAAGGTGGAGGCAAGGCTGAGGGAAAAACAGCTGAGGGAAAAAGAGGAAGAGGAAAGACAGAGGAGAATCGCTGCTAAGTTGAAAGAGAAGGTACATGTTGTACAGGGAACAAGTCAGTCACACGTCGTAAGATCTCTGAAGATGAGTAAGAAAAGGAAAATGTTTAAAATCTTAAACAGGATTGTGGGTGTCGGAAAAGGTTGATATTGTATATTATATTGTTCATCATTCAGGTGGATGGTCACGTCAGCAGAGACCCCTCCAGGCTTACCCGCCCTACTAAGGGATGGGAGGAGCGAATGAAACACATCGGGTCTTCAGGAGGAGGGCCTGTGCCACGGATGTTTCACAGGTCTGATACTGATTGCACTTTTCTATGAAGGAATGATTTGGATAAAACAGGTGACTGCTTGCTGAATCACTGAACTCTGCTGTTGTGTTGTTGCAGAGCTGTTCCCACTTGGAGACAGGGCCTGTGATGAGCAACGACGGAAGCCATTCTTTTTCTGTTTTTGTAGAAATTAGATTAAATGAAAATGTACACCAGATTGTGCCTTTATTTGAAACCATTGTGTGCTGCTGTTTTGAGGTTTTGTACAATCTTTAAATTCAATGACCTTGCATTTGTCAAAACAGTTATTTAAAAAAAAAAAGCTTTTCATTAAAGTTTTGTGTACATTTCACAACTTATTATTATTATTTTGCTCTTGTTAAAATGGTGGACTGGTAACAGTCCGTGTCATTGGTTATTGTGGAAGGAAATTTCCACAAATCCGAAAATACAATTTGTGCGCTGTTTGTGTTTTCGAGCTTTTATTTTGAAAAAACTGATGTACCGGAAAAGATTCCTCATAGGTGCGAGTGCAAAGATGGCGGAAGAGGAGAGCCAGTTTGAAGAATTTGAGCAAATAGACTTTTTAAGAGATCGACATGTACGGTTCTTCCAGAGAACTCTTCAAGTGTTACCTGAGAGATACGCCTCGCTGGAAACAACAAGGTTAGTTTACTGGCATGAAAAATGTTGCTCAAGTTTAAATGTTTTGTAGAAGAACTTGATTAGCATCCAAGCTAGCTGTGGCTCAACCGCTTTGAATGGAGGCTAGTGCTACTTAGCTTATCGTGCTTGCTAACATCATCTAGGTAGTGAAGTTATGACAGATTGGCCGCGATCAAACAGGAAACTACAGCTAGGCAAGATGCCCTGTGAAACTTGGTAGTCAAGGTTAGTTGGTCACATGGCTCATTTTAAAGTTAATTTCATAAATGGACTGTAAAGTTGTTCAGGTTCTTCATTTGTCAGCTAAACAAATACCTGTCCGTTCATCATGCTGTCGCCCAGTAACGTTAATCTCACTGCCACAGTTTACATCGCCTATGATTTGTTGCATATCTCTGACCACGCATTCCTTAATAGATATGTGGATCTTTCTGTCTATCAATATTGAATTAGCCAAAATGAATACGCTTGCCGTCTCCCTTCTTTCCAGGTTAACTATCATCTTTTTCGCCCTGTCTGGTCTCGATGTGCTGGACGCTCTGGATGTAATTGACAGAAACCTTATGATTGAGTGGATCTACTCGCTACAGGTTCTGCCCACAGAGGATCGTAAGTCTCGGTTCTTCCCAATTTTTCACACCTAACCGTAAATAAGATGGGTTTAAATAGTTAAATGTATGCTTTAAAAAGGCTTGTAGTACAAGGATTCGTTGCCAATAAGAATGACATAACGAAGGTTAACATGAAGCACCAAATCAAAAGGTTATTGTCAAGGCATAACGAAGAATGACATCGGCTTGTTTTTTCACTTTTGAGAGGGAAGCCGTCTGTGAGAAAATACTTGAGGGATGGAGACAGGTGGTACACAGGCTAGCTTAGAAGAGGTGCAGGGCTAGTGCTCATTATTGCTTTAAAGGGCACACTTGGTGCGGACTAACAAGGTTTCTAATGTTTGTGGCTGTATATGGTCACATCAAGAAAAGCATAACTTTAAGGAGCCTCATGATGAAACGACAGAAACTGAAAGCCTTACTGAACTATTTCAGGTACATCTCTCTGTTAATGGTGTGCGTGTGCTTGTAAGGGTCTATGGTTTCCATCAGTGGCGGAGGGCAACTAGGGGGCTGCTGGATGGGGGGCTCAGGGCCAGTTCATGATACTGCCAGTGTGAGATTTTCTTAGGGCATACATTTCAGGATTGTCATGTCAAGTTTGACAACTTCAGACGAGTTCAAAGTGTGTGAAACGGTACCTCTGTTCATCAGGGCAAGTTGGACTCTTAGTTACCATATTTGTTTTTGTTTGGTCTCTAACAAGTCAGTCTACACCATCTGTTTAGATGCCCAGATAGTTAATTATTCAGGACATCAATCGAAATGAAGTCTGGATAGCCATGATTGGCCTCATTTTTGCCACTGCCATATGTTTGATGTCTGGCAGGTTTCTTGTCATTAGATGTGAAAATACATTTTGGGGAGGCAGATTTCCTAATGTGGAAATTTTGTTTGAAGCTCTTGAGACTTTTAACTGCTGTTGATGGGCATGTTGTTGAAGTCCAGTTGAGCGCAGGTGTGTTGAAAGAATGAATCTGCATATATCAAGTTAATCTATTAAAATGTGCGTCTGCAACTGTGCCAGAAGACTTCTGTCCCTTGTGTTGATCTTGTAGACTATTTTCAAATCAAAAATTGGTCAGTTGTTTCTTATGTTTGGTTTTTTTAGCATTAGTATGCTGAAAAGGCGTGACTATTGTAGACAGTTTCTGGTTTGATTTTAATTTGAAAAATACAAACTCAGGAGTAAGTGAGCATAACACTTATCATGTAGTGCAAAATACTGAATGAAATTAGAAGCAGTCAGTTAAAAATAGTGATATGATGTGCCATATATTGAAATTGTCTCTGTAGCATGTCGTGCACTCTTTGCAGTTTGGTGACATTTTGTTAATTGGCTTCTGCTGTAAGTAACATTTCTATCACAGCCAGCAGATGGCATCAGCCCCCTTTTTCTGTCAAGCATCTTTGTAACACCTTGCTGAAGGTCAATCTAAATAGAACAAGACCTAGTTTATGAGACAGTGAACGAAAGTAGTGTTTCCTTGTTCCAGTTTCTCTTGATGTTTACCAGTATATAATATCTTCCCGTCTCCTGTTGTTCTCTTCCAGAGTCTAACCTAAGTCGTTGTGGGTTTCGAGGATCGTCACATATTGGAATTCCTTACAGCACTAAGGTACTGCCCCTCCTTACCTCACGCTGTTTTTACACCTGATCTCAGGTTTTACCAAACATTGTGTCTGTCCTTAGTCTAAAGATATATTTTCAGTCAACGTATTCGCTACTGTGAACCAGTGTTTTCTCTATTTTTCCATTTGCATTAATCCTCCTCAAAATATTTCGGTTCAATCATTATACCAATCCATTCTCTCACATCAGGGGGTCTGGGGCTTTTCCAGTTTTATTAGCATCATCCCATCAGCTGTAATATTCATCTATTACAACAGTCATTGTAATAGATGTATTTTTCACATTTGCCATTACTGCTCCACCCCCATGGAGACATAGTTGCGGATGTAACAGCTTGAGTCTAAAGGTCTATTTTAGCTCTCTGTAGATGGCTAAATACTTGATCTGTCTGGGCCTGTTATTGGTTTTAAACAGCTTTTTTCTCCATCCAGATGTTTGTTTTATTAGCTTCTGTGATCTCTTGTGTTTTGTCTTCCCACTGCAGTTGTATGTATACTATATAATTTTGATATTTTCTTTAGGGTCCAGGTGTGCTCCATCCGTATGACAGTGGCCATGTAGCCATGACCTACACTGGGCTATGCTCGCTGCTGATACTGGGAGACGATTTGAGCCGGGTTAACAAACAGGCCTGCCTGGCTGGTCTCAGAGCACTGCAGCTGGAGGACGGCAGGTCAGTGTACACACAAACACACACACACATTTGCACTTTCACTCTGACTCAAATACACCTGAGGTCATGTGAACATTAGCAGCCTGAATGTGAACTGACCAAACTCACGTTTGGTCCTACGACAGTAGTTTGTCCACACAAACACAGACACACAAATACATTGTGTATCATGTTTGGCAGATGACACCATCTTCAAACATGAATATATCTGAGTTAACACTCCAGCAATTTCATCTGACAGGCTTTTTTTATTGCATTTGGCATGATATGACGTAAATGCTACAAATTCTGAATATAGCCACGCCACGCCAATTTTCACGATTTGTGCAACTCTCCTGTCTTTGTGGCTTTTTCTGTCTGTGTACCCCACCCCCCCCACTTCCAGTTTCTATGCAGTGCCAGAAGGAAGTGAAAATGATATACGGTTTATCTACTGTGCAGCCAGTATCTGTTACATGCTGGATGACTGGTCAGGCATGGACATCCAAAAGGCCATCGAGTACATCAGGGGAAGTTTGGTGAGTTGAATGTTTCATTAAACTACAAGGAGATGAAGATTTTACTGCACCCCTAATGAATAAGACCTATATTCCATGCTGGCAGTGCCGCCCTCTACAACCTCTGCATCTGTGCCATTCAAAGCAGTGCCTCTACACTTGAATGGGGAGAACAGGCCACCCACCTTCAGCAGGTGGCACTCTGCCTAGAAATACTTCATTTATTATAAATGCAGAGGGTGGTTGAGCAGTGCATCGTGGTCTTAAAGCTGTAGCAGAGGTTTTTCCACCCCCACCAAGAGCAAAACAAGATGTTCCAAGTTCATGATGTGGCACTTCAGTGATATTTTTGTCAGATTGTAGACTGATGTTTAACTCAACCCTTTACTTTAGCCTCAGTGTTTGTCTTTCCGTCAGAGGAGGGTTAGACACATCACAGCTGTCTGTGTGAGGTATTGTCTTCGTGCTCATCATCTCAGTGTCTTGTACAACTCGAGTCCCCAGAGCAGAGAGATGCTCCCATTCATCACTAAACTTCAGGTCATTTTAAATTTGACATTTAACACAAGTGTTTCATTACATACTTTAGAGAAAGAGGTTACGCTCTGTTAATTAGTTAACACATAACTGTGAATCATGGCTGAAAAGTATATTTATCCGCTGACCACATGCTGGTGGGTGGATTCCAAAAACATCTTTGGCAATGCAAGTTAGTTGTTGGTAAGTATACGGAAAGCTCCAGATGATAGGTGGTTCTGTGTGGAAAAGCCCTGGAACAGTAACAAGTTTACCAGCCACACTGAAGTTTCACTTATGTTTGAATGGCGCCAGGTATCCATCGTTATGGTCTGATCAGACCAGGCACACAAGCAGACAAGGTCTCAACCTTGTTAGTTTTTAACCCAAGTGACTGCCATCTGTTGCTGAACTTGTGTATTTTTGTAGGAACCAGTATGAGTCCCAAGGCAATGCACAATGCTCATTTTTGTCAGCAGTTGATTGCGACACAACCAAAAACAAGAAAGAAGGAAAGAGCAAAACAGAACAAGTTAGCATGCCATTTGATGATGCATTCGGTTGTGACTTGACCAGTGAGAACAAATGGGAAGACTCATTTTGACACAACACATTTGTGTCTACAAAGCCGGTTAAAACAGCCCGGAAGGCATGTTGGTGTTATTTTTTGTTTGTGGCGACAGCTTCAGTTTTAACTTATGCCTCGCAAATGTATTTGTATATTTTAAAAATATACGTTCAGGTCGACCTCTTCTG